ACTTTGTGTTTACACCATCTTGTATCGTTGGTCTATAAGACATATTTATACACTCTTAATGTGTGCCAGTAATGTTTGATGCATCAACAGCTTTAAAGTCTCATGGGATCACCTGACTTCCTGTCATGTGATAGAATTGGAAAATTAAACGAGACTTGCCTGTAAGTTGAAGTTTGATTGAGATTCTATCACATGACATTGGAAGGAAGGAGATCACATGCCCGCCTCTTCCCGCCCTTGTCTATTTATACATTATATCAGCTGGGGTATATAAATGTATATATTTCTGGATTTTATGTTGATGCAACAAACATCGTTTTAAAGAATGACTTGCGCAAGCGCTGTGCTATCTCATGTGATCTCCTTCCTTCCAATGTCATGTGATAGAATCTCAATCAAACTTCAACTTACAGGCAAGTCTCGTTTAATTTTCCAATTACACATGATTGTTTGAAGGGAAAGTCAGTTGGTAATGCGCTTGTCTTCTGAATGCTGAATAACAGGTGAGACTGCATGAGAGTAAACATTACGGCTAAGGTTTTTCGTCGAGAACGTTGGAAGAAAGACGAGGCAAAGGAACCGTGTAAAAAGAAAGAATTTAAACATAGGAGAGTGAAAGAAAAGAACATGGACTATATATTAAAGACAACTGAATAGAAAGATTTAATATCTGAGGACAAAAAAAAGTCTAAGGTAAGCCTTGAGAACGTCGAAAACCAAAGAAAACTCTGAAGTTTTGAAGTTAAAGTTAAGATATTTGCCATATGTTTTAAAATATTTGCTATGGCAAATATGCGAATATAACTCAACAGTCAAACTCTTTGCAGTCTATACTATCTTCAACGTGTTGATTCTCTACAAATCAAGTATAATAAGGTAAAAGGTGTTCATACTGTAAAGTAAGGTTGTTAAATCGTGATTGAAGCTTTATAAAGCCAATATATACCGAAAATTACCGAAAATCACTGATGGAACCTTTAGTATGGAGTGACACAACAATAATACTCAGCATGCTTGTCTTAAAACGATGGAAAATATCACTGCAAATATTTTAAAACTTTATCAGAATGTCAATAAAGGTTTTACCTTTTACTCCATTGAGTTTTTTGCCTATTAATAAGCGGTTTAATGGACCAAATAATTTTCCTTCCGCATAAAGCGTGACCGCTAGCGACTTAGTTGTCATTATTTTGTGGGTAAATTATGGCGCGCCAAACTAGACAAAAATACTTCCATGTATAATTTGTAAGACTTTCTACACATAGATAAACATTGTTTAAAATATATACTACTTCTAATGGAATAGTCAAACATTGATCGAAATATATAATACTTCTTACGATATATAAACATTGATTGAAATATATAATACTTCTTACGGTATATATAAACGTTGATTTAAACATTCTAAAAATAATACTTGAAATCCGAARATACGACTTACTTTTCTCTCAAAATATGATACTTCAGTCGGGGGGAAATATAATACTTAGCCTGCACTATCTTGACCAGCGGATATTCCACATTGGAAAAGAGATACTGGCACTAATAAGGATTTTCCCGTCTTTTCTTTCCTTTCATCTTTCTTTGCCATCGCAAAAACATGGCGGAACCCATTGTAAACAAACTTATGGAAGTAGTAAATTCCCTTATTGAAAAAAACAGTAATACAAGTAATTCTGATGTTCCWAAAAGAATTTCTCCAGAGTCAGATAGAGAAAGTACAGAGTCTGCTTTGCGTGGCCTGTATCCTAGTGTCAGGGGACAGACCTCCGAGACGAYCATTGAACGGCCGATAACTTCCACTAGTACAGGGAGATCTTTTAATCCTAGAGCAAAATRTGATGTGAAAAAAGGGAAGAAGAAAGCAGTGAAATATTCAGGAACCAAGATTCAAGAAAGAAAGACAGTACTAAAAGWCATCWTTCTGCTTCCAAGTCCTAAAGTACAGGAAGTACCTCGAGGCCTATTTAGAGAATCGTTGTATTCCAAAGACTATGCAAAAAGTGCGATACAAATAGCAGATGATATGTCTGAAGAAGAGGTTAAAAACACAATTGATGAACTATTCGAGTCTGCCCTTCTCAGCATTCAAGAACCAAGATACGAGTTTGTCAGGGCCATTGGGAACAAAATAATATCAGTGCCCAATGGTCCATTCACTGGTAAGCTTGTGAAATATTCAGTATCCAAGCAAGGGCCAGTTTACATAAGAGCTAAGAAAGATATTTTGCATGACGGAGGCTTTAAAAGATGGTACAAGGCTGGGGAAATAGAAATTGATGACGACACAGGTAGCAGTGATGATGGGAGTCATGATGATGGTGATGAACCAAAGAGCAAAAAACCAGTCATATATTCGAGTACCCGCTAACCCGCATTATCGCAGGCTCGCCATTTGTAGTGCCGCTGATCGAAGACTGCATGCAGGCGCCAATGAAGTCATATATTTCAACAACAAGTCATATATTTCGGCAACAAGTCTTGTATTTCCGACAACAAGTCATATATTTCGGCAACAAGTCTTGTATTTCCGACAACAAGTCATATATTTCGGCAACAAGTCTTATATTTCTCACAACTAGTCTTATATTTCTTGAAGAAGTATTTTTGTCTAGTTTGGCGCGCCATAGTAAATAGGGGTTACATTTCGTCATGCCATAATTCGAATTTTCGGGTGCCCCCAAGTTTAAGTGAAGATTAAGCATACAATGCTAGTTGCCCCTATAGTAGTTAATTCGTGTAAATCGACCATTGGAGATATTATACCCTTGCAATATAGGATAAGAAAAATTGCTCAAAATAATGAAAATAATGTAAAAATCGATAAAATATTTTATTTCATCTTATGCAAAATACTAAATAAATCCATCTAAATGAGGGTTAGTATTCCACAATCACAAAACTATATCGTTTGTCAAAGAAAGTAAAATTTTGTGTTTTTTTAGGTTTTTTTGGATGAGGTGAAATCGCGTGAAGACTGAACCGAAAATAATCCCGAAAAATGGATTTCGGCGCAGTTCTCCTAAAATATTTATCCGATCGAAGTGAAACTTATACAACAGTTATAGCTCACTAAGGCTTATATTCTGACAAACTTTTAGCGATTTCGATTTTTCGCATTTTGCACCCCTCAGGTGATATTTACTTACTACCCCTCTTAAGACAAAAGACAAAATAAAAGTGAAAGAAATGAAGACGAAGCCTTTAGCATGACAAAATATGAAAGTTTATTTAACTGAAACAAAAAAAACAAAAAAAAAAAAAACCTGATGTTGCAAAAGTCAGTGGTGATAATGACTTTTCGCACAGCACGTTATCACAACCTTTCAATTTTTACACTAATTTCTTTTTACCAAAATTCTGCGTTTCACTCTTAGTGGTCTGAAATGTCACAATCTCAATGGGTTTCTTAAATCGACGCATAACAATAACAAAAAATAAAAACAGAGCATGCTAGTGCAGCGATATATAATTCAGTAAACCTCTGAATTATTATCATGCGCTTGCTAGTCTGGTAGAATTTTACATTCTTTGACTATCAATCCGGCTTCAAGTAGTTCAAGTTTTTACTGAAACGGTATTCAGAAAAATTGCACTTGAACTAATTACGGTGTGATGATTTAATCAAATAACGAACGGCCGGCTCTCTCTCCGAGGTAATGAAGTTCACTAAAATAACTAAAGCTTGAAGGATTTCAGTTTTTTAAATGAACATTTCGTGACATTTTTCATCGTCATGACACTGATTTGATAACTGCAAGGCGAATCAACAAACACAGAAAAAACACAGACCAATAACAGTACTTTTGCTATTAACCAGTCTATTGCGAAATTCCGCTTCCTTTTAGTTTTCAAAATGGAGTATTTTGATCAATAAGTTTCGCTCACTGCAACCCTACGAAAGACAAATTTATTAACATTGATAATCTTATCTCTTTTTTTCTTTCTTTTTCATTTAGGGAACCTGGCATCATAGCGAAGATAAAATTTAAAGGGAGCCGTGGATCAAACCTAACAACATTAGATAAACATATAATCCTTGACAGAATTACCAATGTCTATCTATGCTAATTCCCCGTCTGCTCGGATAACAGTCCTCACCATCTTGAGTTTATTCGTGGTTGCGGATGTCTTTGGAAACATACTGGTTTGTTTAGTAGTGCTGCGTAACCCGAGCATGCGCACTGCTATGAACCTTATTCTGGTCAATTTAGCCCTGTGTGACATTACGGTTGCCATAGGAATGACATCAAAGTACATATTGACGGAACTGATATCACATCCAACAGGGGATTTTGGAAAATATCTATGTACTTTTATAACATCTGGAAACTTGACATGGGTTGGTGGTCTTGCTTCAGTGTTCTGCCTTGTATCTTTATCATACGAGCGATATTCAGCAATAGTAAACCCGTATGACATCCATAAAAGGATTACTAAAAGAAAAGCAGTGTGGTTCTCGGTTGCTTCGTGGATTATGTCTATGATAATATGTGTACCGGAGTTCATAGGCTATGACTATTACATAACTAGGCAAGGCTGTTTCCAAAAATGGCCGTTCCCGTGGCTACCAAAGGCTTACAGCATGTTTTGGCTGTTTGTGGTGGGTATCATACCAATTAGCCTGATGGTGTTCTTTTATTCAAGGATTGTCCATACATTATGGTTTCAGTCCAAAAGAGACCCTGAGCTTGCGCAGCAAGCGGCTCTCAGATACCGCAAAAGTGTCACAAAGATGTTAATCGTAATAAGCGTCATCTACATAATTGGATGGATGCCAACGCTTTGTGTATTTGTCCTTGTATTTTGGAGCAAGGCTTTCCAAGTCGGACAGGTTATTGGTGCTGTGACTGCGATACTTGTGGTATTTAACTCAGCGGTAAATCCATACGCGTATGCGCTACAGAGTAAAGAGTTTAGAAAGCGTTTGAAGAGTTATATATTCTGCTGCCAGTGTCGTCTAGTTGTGCTTCCAGTCAATGATACATATACTCAACACTCTGTTGCCTTAAACCAACCACATGTTAATAAGGCATTTGTGGCTGATCAAAACATAGAGTTACAAAGTTACAATAAAAGAAGTCAAACGTGTCTCAAAAAAGAAGGATGAGCATTTGAAGACCAATGTTTGAAAACATTTTCATCGAAGCTTGAAGTCAGCGATGAACTGTAGCACGTGTAAATAATAAGATTGAATTGTTCCAAAATCAAGATTACAAAAAAAAAATTAAGTTCTTAGTAGAGCCGAATACACAGATCACATTGCAGATATAGCAACTTCATATAGTGGTTATTATTGACATAGTGCACTACATGCAATTGTAGATATAAGCTATAAAGAATTATTTGCACTAATCAGATCGATGATAAAAATCCTAAAATTTCAAAAAATTTCAGGTAAAAAAGTTTCTTTATAATACATTATGACGTAAATCAGTACTACATGAAAAATAGTGACTTGTGTATCAAGTGTATCAAGTCAGTATGAAATTATTTTTATAATAACCATAATACTATCATATTTTGGGAACCGAAAACCAACGTCAGTATTTCACTTATAAGGCAATCCATGAGAATAGTTACCTTTTTCGAAATAGTAGCAAGACTGTGTGATATCCCTTATTGTAGAAGTTACACAAAGGAAAAATGTACAAAAGAGTTTTAAAGCCATACACTTTGTAAAATGAATACATTCGCGTCAATATTGGATAAACCTGGAATCAATAGTAATAGTTCAAATGCAGACATTAAGAAGAGAGTCAAAACTGACCCAAGATGTGGCAACCATGTTGGTGGAATATTTTCTTAGATACCGCCAACATGGCCGCCATGAGATACAAACGAAGACTAATGGTGTTACTTGCGGTTCATCTTTACTCCTTGGAATCAGCAATCCCTCCTGGTGTGACCGCAAAAGTAGTTTCATTCTCCGGTAAATCAGGACTGAAAAAAAAGACAAAAGAATGATGATACATTATGGAATTGTCTAAGATTTTGAATAGTACTGAAAAGCAGTTACGCGCGTCACGACCTCTTAATAAAAGAGACTGTATAGAATCAAATAAATCAGCGAATCTCAATCAGTCTTCATTTCTTCAGTTATCGATGTATTATGTGTGCGCGCCTGCATCTGAGGTTGGCCGGCGTGTTCACATTTAAAATAACTTGGATTTTGACCGATCCTGGTAAAATTTAAATGTTATGAAGATAAGAAGAGTTTATATGAGGCGAGATGGAGGCTTAGGAAGTACGAAGGAGATGACGAAAAGCTAAATGGTGCGGAAAAGATTTTCCTAAATGAGCATCTAACATCTGAAAGAAAGAAGCTGTATGCAGAAGTGA